AGTTGGCCCTCTTGAAGTCCCAGCTTCTAGTGCTTGACCTGCTGCACGTCCCCAGACCCCTGATCACAAAGCAAAGGATGGAGTGATCACTCGCATCCAGAGCTCCCCTAATCTGTACTTCATCTATCAGCTCCTCCCTATTGGTCAAGACCAAGTGAAGGATGTTTCCCCCCCTCGTCGCCTTTCGGACCCTCTGTGTGAAAAATGCTCCCTCAATAGCTTCTAGGAAGCGATGTGACCTGGCTGTCACCGCTGAGTGAGTCTCCCAAGTAATATCCAGGAGATTGAAATCTCGCATAATTACTGTCTCTCTCTCCTGAGATATCCTTAGAATCTAGTCTGTCAGGACATCATCCAGGGTCTCAAGGTGACCTGGAGGGCAATAACATACCCCCACTGTCAGGTCTCTTTCCCTCTCAAGACCCCTAAGTTTCACCCAGGCTGCCTCTACTGAATCCCTATCTGTGCTGCATTCTATCTCATCATGTGTGACAATTACTCATTCAATTATTTTGCTGCCCTCACACGGAAGCAGAACACACACACATGTGTAAGCATTGCATGTGACAATCCATATGCAAGCTTCTTTTCCTATAGCTGTCAAACCAAGCAGTCTAGGAATCTGTGTAGCAAGAATCAGTCCACACACCCTGTAGTTTCTCCCACTACACAAAGGGCAGATTCGCACATCATGACAACCCCTTGTGCTAAATCACAGCAGTGGGTTGCCCTGAAGTATGAGGAAGTTTCAATGAGCCTGACAGACGACTGAGCTCATCGCGGTTGCTCTCCAATCTGCCCCAGCCTCCTTTATTCTCATTCTTCCATGCAGCATCCCAGGGGACAGGGTGGAAAGGAAAGAAGGTCCTCTCTTTGACAGCTGTGATGGTGAGCTGAGTTCAGCTTTCTGTGTCTGACAGTCTCTGCAGTGTAAATGGGACTCACACGCTGAAGAACATCGGAAAGAAAGGGGAAGCTAATCAGGCACCATGGCCTCCAGCTCCACTCTCAGGCATAAAGTGGGGAATCAGCTGGGCAGGACTGCAAAAAGGAGCTATACTGATAAGCTGATTCCACACTCCACAGCAGGGAAGCTTCTCACATGCTGGGTGGGGCAGGGCAGGAGAAATCAGGGCTGCCACTCCTTCCCCCTTTCTGCTGGAGAGAAAGCCACTCATGCAGGAGCAGGGAAAAGGAAGCCTGGGCTGCCAAGTGCAGACCATTTCACCAAGCTCAGTTGCTCCTTGGAGGCTTTCTCTCCAGTAGAAGAAGGCAAACCCACCCTCTCCTCCTGCTTGGGAAAAAAGCACCCTGGCAGGGGCCATGTTGGGGTGTTGGATGCATAGCAGACTGACTTTCTTCCAAGCAGAGGAAGAGGGGAAGACCGTGCTTGGCCCTTCTTCCTAAGGCAGCACCTCCCAGCTGATCCTTCTCTCTCCTGCTCACCCCTGAGAATGGGCAATCAGCTGGGCCGTTCCTGCCCTGAAGATCGCTGGGGCAGGAGGAGGGAGAATTGAAGATGCCTCTGACAGCAGAGTCCAATGGGGCAGCTATCAGTCACATTCACACTCTCTGGCTAGCAGCTCTATTGCTTTGGCCTTTCTACCATGAATGGGTTGTATTGTCTGGGTTTGGACAAAACGACAAGCAAATATGATAGGGAGAAATCACAATGGTCAATCATCCGGACTAGACTCATTGATCTCCCCACACCTTGTTTCCAAAAGGGAGGTACCCTTAATGATCATACTAAAAATATTTCTAGGCCGTCTTTCAAGATAGCAGCCCTCTTAAAGAAGCTAATAATAAATAGTCTGAGACAATTTGATAAAAGCAATTTTCTAAGCTACACCAATAAAAGCACACACACTGAATAAGGGGAAGGCCACAGCCTTCCTAAAAGGCAATGCTCTCTAAGTGTGGGGCTACTGCAGAAGAAGTACTTTCTCATGCATTTGCTCAACTAACTGCCTTCAAAGATGGGAAGGGCCTCTCTTGCTTAGAGACCCTTGCAGTTAAGTCCAAAGACAGAAATTGTTAAACAACAAAATATGTAGTCGAGTTGCCTACAAAACACCTATGCTGGGTATTTGTTTCACACAAACAAAAAGATATCCTCCACCCAACCCTACTAGTTTACAAACACTCCATAGGGTGCTTCTTATTCGACAGACATAATAGAGATTATAGAGAGTAAAAACTAAACCAGGAGCTGACTGTGGCCCAGATCATGAGCTTCTTGTTGCAAAATTTAGGCTTAAATTGAAGGAAGTAGGGAAAAGCACTAGGCCACTCAGGTATGACCGAAATCATATTCTTGATGAATATACAGTAGAGGTGGCAAATAGATTTAAGGAATTGGATCGGATAGACAGAGTGCCTGAAGAACTATGGATGGAGGTTCGCAACATTGTACAAGAGGTAGCAACTAAAACCATCCCAAAGAAAAAGAAAAGCAAGAAAGCAAAATGGCTGTCTGAGGAAGCCTTACAAATAGCTGAGGAAAGAAGGGAAGCGAAAGGCAAGGGAGAAAGAGAAAGATACATCCAATTGAAAGCAGAATTCCAGACAATAGCTAGAAGAGATAAGAATGCCTTCTTAAATGAACAGTGCAAATAAATAGAGGAAAACAATAGAACAGGGAGGACCAGAGATCTCTTCAGGAAAATTGGAGATATGAAGGGAGCATTTCATGCAAAGATGGGCATGATAAAGGACCAAAATGGCAGGGACCTAACAGAGGCAGAAGAGATTAAGAAGAGGTGGCAAGATTACACAGAAGAACTATGCAAGAAAGAGCTTACCGTCCCTGATAACCACAATGGGGTGGTCACTGACCTTGAGCCAGACATCCTGGAATGTGAAGTCAAATGGGCCTTAGGAAGTCTGAGCAACAACAAAGCTAGTGGAGGTGACAGTATTCCAGCTGAGCTATCGAAAATCTTAAAAGACGATGCAGTAAAAGTGCTACACTCAATATGCCAGCAAATTTGGAAAACGCAACAGTGGCCACAGGATTGGAAAAGGTCAGTTTACATTCCCATCCCAAAAAAGGGCAATGCCAAAGAACGTTCAAACTACCGCACCATTGCACTGATTTCCCATGTTAGCAAAGTGATGCTCAAGATCCTACAAGCTAGGCTCCAGCAGTATGTGGACCGAGAACTACTAGAAGTACAGGCAGGATTTCGAAGAGGGAGAGGAACTAGAGATCAAATTGGCAACATACGCTGGATAATGGAGAAAGCTAGGGAGTTCCAGAAAAACATCTACTTCTGCTTCATTGTCTATGCTAAAGCCTTTGATTGTGTGGATCACAAAAAATTGTGGCAAGTTCTTAAAGCAATTGGAGTATCAGACCATTTTATTTGTCTCTTGAGAAACCTATATGTGGGTCAAGAAGCAACAGTGACAACTGGACACGAAACCACTGATTGGTTCAAAATTGAGAAAGGAGTTTGGCAAGGCTGTATACTGTCGCCCTGCCTGTTTAACTTCTATGCAGAGCACATCATGAGAAAGGTGGGGCTAGATGAATCACCAGTTGGAATTAAGATTGCCAGGAGAAATATCAACAACCTCAGATATGCAGATGCCACCACTCTAATGGCAGTAAGTGAAGAGGAACTAAAGGGTCTCTTGATGCAGGTGAAGGAGGAGAGCACAGAAGTCGGCTTGAAATTCAACATTAAGAAAACTAAGATCATGGCATCCGGTCCTATCACTTCCTGACAAATAGATGGGGAAGAAATGGAAGTAGTGACAGATTTTATTTTCCTGGGCTCCAAGATCACCACAGATGGGGACTGTAACCAAGAAATTAAAAGATGCTTGCTCCTGGGGAGGAAAGCTATGGCAAATCTAGACAGCATACCAAAAATCAGAGACATCACCCTGCCAACAAAAGTGCATATAGTCAAGGCTATGGTTTTCCCAGTTGCAATGTATGGCTGTGAAAGCTGGACCATAAGGAAGGCAGAGCGCCAAAGGATTGAGGCCTTTGAATTGTGGTGCTGGAGGAGACTCCTGCGAGTCCCTAGGACCACAAGGCGATCAAACCGGTGAGTCCTAGAGGAGATCAACCCTGACTGCTCTTTAGAAGGCCAGATACTGAAGATGCAACTCAAATACTTTGGCCACCTAATGAGAAGGAAGGACTCCCTGGAGAAGAGCCTAATGCTGGGAACAATAGATGGCAGAAGAAGAAGGGGACGGCAGAGAATGAGGTGGCTAGATGGAGTCCTTGAAGCAGTTGTGTGAGCTTAAGTGGACTCCGGGGGATGGTGGAGGACAGGAAGGCCTGGAGGAATGTTGTCCATGGGTCGTGATGGGTCGGACACGACTTTACAACTAACAACAAATAGAGATGTTGTTTGCAAGACTGAGAGAGAATATTAATGTAATTCCAAAGGTTTGCATTTGCTTTAAAATAGGGACAACACACTTCTAATTCTTGGACTTCTGACTGGATTCCAGGGTAAGTAGGCTGTAATCTTGGGGTTGTGTAAAGTGGTCAGTTAAGAGGATATGCCAAAAGAAGGCAGTGGTTTGCATAAAAATTGCATGTTAACTTCTGTTCGCCAATGAAAATTTAGAAATGATTACTAGCATATAAATAGGCAAATGATACATGTCTCAATGATCTGGTAACCCGAGTGCCTGTTTAGTCCGTTGTCCTTTCAATAGTTCCTTACACTGGGTTTGGACTGGACAGTTCCTACAGTGGAGGACACTTTCAAACAGAAGCTTGTCTTCTGTAAAGCAGGGCATGTGACCTCCTTGGGTTGGGTGACACTACTCCAAAGTCACAGGACTTTATCCTTCTCTAGCTCTTGGTGCATGTAGCAAACCCTGCAACTCAGGCACCAGCAGGATTGGATCACAGAACTTACACCCCCTGTGAATCTGACCATCAAGGCTTCTAGCTGCTGTCAAATCATCAGCCAGAAGCAACCCAGTGCCAAAAGGCTGGGCTTTGGTGGCATCTGCCATCCCCCTGAATCATCCTTTTGAATGATACTTTTAATCACAGAGAAAAATGTGTAACAACCCTATCCCATAACTGAATCCATTGTCCAAACTGAAGATGTGAGCAACTGTGTAAGCAGAGGCAAAAACCAAAACCCCAACTTTTTTGTTTTTCAAATGGCACAAGACCAGATGAAAAGCTAGGCTCAATACATACTCACATGCAAGATGGCAGCAAGGAGAAAGGACAGACCAGCCGGGCCTGGGGCTCAGCAGAGGGGTCAACACTGAAGCATGTCTGTTCTATCTTTTTAGTCTGCCAGGTACTGAGTACCATACTATAAATTTAAAGGAATAACAAAACAGGGTGCTGGGGAATGGTGGGGTCTGTAAGCAGCATTTAGTCCCTACATTACACTTTGTAATGTATTTTGTGTACATTATCTGAACATGACTTATTTTTGCTCATGATCTCTCAATGTTTTAAGTTAAGTTTCAGCTTAGGAAATTATAAATAAATCTCCAACTATGTAACCAGAGCAAATCATGCAAATAAAGCAAGGTACATTGATGAAATGTGTGCAACCTATTTCTGAGATATTTTATGTGAATAACACTCTGCCCATATGAATACATAGAAGCTGTTGTGTACTGGAATAGCTAAGTAGTTCATTTGTTAAACAGGAAGGCTCCCAGTTCGAATTCTGCTTTTCCTGGGCACACACTGGATGACTTTTGGGAATGCACTTTTTACCGGTTGCTAGGCTTACCGAAATTTAGCACAGAAAGTTCTTTTAACAACCTGTATTAAACTTCCCCAAACTAGCAGTCTTCAGATATGTTGAACGGAAACTCCAAGCACAGCCATGCTGTCCCAGAATGATGGAGGCTGCAATCCAACACATCTGAAGGATGTTAGAATGCAGAAGGCTGCTTGAAGCTCCATGTTGGCTGGGGAATTGTGGGAGTTATAGGTCTCTCCCTCTCCAAAACTCACATGACACTCCTGAAGTACTATATAGTTTGGATTATGAGACTGTATTATAGCCTCTGCTCTTATTCTTCAACAGGCAGTGTGCTCTGGCAGCCCTTCGGGATGTCCAAACCTATCTGAACATGGAAGAAGGGCAAGTAGCGGTAAGAGAGCAAAGGCCCATATATGGATCCAGAATATCATCCTCTTGCCTCCACTGCACCCTTGTTCAGCTGCCTTCTCCTCCCTACTTAGGTTTTTGATGCCACAAACACCACGAAGGAACGACGTGCTCTCATCCTGCAGTTTGCCAAGGAGAATGGCTTCAAAGTAAGCAATAGCATAAAACAGGCCGCGGATGGAGTACTTAGGGCAGTGGTGGCAAGCCTATGGCATGCATGCCACAGTGGGCACAGAGAGCCCTCTCTGTTGGCACTCAAGCCAAGTCGCCCCAGCATCACCCCAGCAACCAAGCATTGGATAACAGCATATATAGGGGCCATGCGCATGCTCGGAAAGGAGTAGCGGTGCCAGGCAATGATGTCACAAGCCACGACTCATTAGCCGCAACTCATCCGAGCTTTTGCATGGCCGGTCAGTGCGCTGCCAAGCATATATGTACAGAGTGTCCCCAAAAAATTGACATTCATAGTCAATTCTCACTCAAATGATCTCAAATTTTAACAAAATGTTTAAAAACTAACTAATGTTAGTTACACGATGTTACACAAGACATGCTACAGTGTGTTTGGCAGGAGGTGGACTATCGTCTTGACATGTGTCATGTCACAGGCAGCGTGCATACTGAACATTTATGAATCTTTGTGAAATCGATTATAAAATCTACATCCCTTTGAATGTCTTGTTTGAATTTTGGTAAATAAATCTTTTATTGTTCAACATGAAGCTTATATAATTTCATTGCCTAGGACATAGAAACATAGAAAACAGAGCGAGTCAGAAGGGGCCTCCCAGTCCATCTAGTCTGACCTCCGGCACCAGCCGGCTCCACTCACGACATGCCCACCATGTGCATGTCCAGCCTATCCTTGAACACCCACACCGATGGGGCCTCAACGACCTCTCGTGGAAGCCCATTCCACACCCTCGGGGTCCTGACTGTCAGAAAGTGCTTCCTGGCATCCAAACGAAACCTTGGCTCCCTGAGCTTTGCTCTGTTGGAGCATGTCCTGCCTTCCTCTGCAGGGGAGAACAGGTCTCTACCTATCTCCATGTGACATCCCCTCACATACCTGTATGTCGCCAACATATCCCCT